GCCATGTGGATCACCTCTGGGTCTGGGGATCAAACTTGCACTGAAGTGGCTGCTGCTAACTTACAGTGTTGCATCTTAACCCCTTGTACCACCAGGGAGGGCCCGAAAGTCACAATTTTCTCCTTGTGAAAACTTCCTTCAAGGTCTATTCTTTAGCAACTTGCAACTATGTAATACAATATTGACTATAGTCATTATGCTATAATTACATCCCTATGACTTATTGATTTTATAACTGGAAGTTTGTACCTACTGATCTAGTTCATCCATTATGCCCATCCTGCAGCCCACCTCATTTTCCCCTCTGGAAACCACCAACCTAGTTTCTGTAACACAGGATTGTTTTGAAATAAATATGTTCAAAATAAAGCAAAATACTTTCATAGATAAAGCTAAAAACAGTTACAAATGTTATATGCCTTCATTTACCTAGGTACATTGAGAAGTAGTGAGGCATTTTGCTTGCATTGGTTTTCCATACTTAATTATTTATTTAAATGTTTTTCTGGTCTGCAAAGTACTTCTCAGGTATTTAATTTCAGAATACCTGGGCAGATTTTGATTTGGTGCGTCTGAGGTGAGGCTGAGATTTGCTTTTTTAATAAGCTCCTAAATGATGTGGAAGTTGTTGCTCTGTAGACTGTACTCAGACCATCAAGGATCTGGATGGTTTATTGGAATGCTGGCAGTTTTATAATCTAGGACATTAAATATGGCTGAATTTTTTAGGAATTACATTATTTGTTTTACAAAGAAAACTTAGGGGACTCCTATAAATTTAATAATGTAGTTGATTGAAATAATGTCTTTTGTATTCATATTTTCCTCTTTTATATGTTTATCAGTGTTTTAATTCTGGTTTTGCTTATTTCTCATTTCTTTTTTGTTGTGGTGGTTTTTGCTTTCATTTAATGTATTATTGTGTTTGTGAATCTGGTTAGGGAACCGTTACTGTATTTTATGTTTGTATCTACATTTTATTTTGCATGCTTAACGTGGCTTTACCTGGATGTGCTTTTTGGTAAGTTTCAAATTTATAAAGCATATTGTTTTTTGTAGTGTTAAGTTACAGTGTTTTCCTTTTTTTTCCCCTTCCACTTCTAGTAATGTGATCATGCACATGAATTGGTTTTAATTTGTTAAAAGATTTCATTTGATAGTTTTTCCTAACATTTTTCAGTTTTCCTTAATAGTAGTGTAGCTTGGTACTAATCTGCTTTGATTCGTTTTATAGCCTCACACTGTCAGTTGCTGATCACTGTAGCAGTTGCTGTGTCAAGTATTTGGTTTTTTAAGAAAGCCTTAATCATTTAGAAGTGTTCCAAAAACTAGTGCTTCTATGTAGCAATCATAAAAGAAGTTTGTAGTAAAATTAAATGTTTCTATGTGCTGTCAACAACATATTCTAATTTTGTTTTTACAGCAACAGCTAGCACAATTACAGAAAGAAAAATCAGAGATTCTGAAAAATCTTGCATTGTATTACTTCACATTTGTAGATGTTATGGAATTTAAGGTATGTACTTAAATTATAAAGTTTAACATTTCAAAGTAGATTTGATGTTTGTCAGTAGTATAAATTGCTTTATCACTTGCAAAAAATAATTAGAACTAAAATTCATAATATATTGTTTTTATGTTTTCTAAATTTAATTTTATGCAAAGATTAATTAAACCTTTATTTTCAGGACCATGTTTGTGAATTACTGAATACTATTGATGTTTGCCAAGTCTTCTTTGATATTGTAAGTATTATTTTGAGAAAAATCTCCTGTCTGATTCCAGTAGAATTAAGGATACAAAGTGCTTTTCTTTAGAGTAAGTTTATGTGACTAGCATGTAATGATTTAGCAGTGTTCACTTAGCTTCTTCTGCAGCTGTTTTTAAAAGGAAGCAATTAGATTGTGTTGTCTGTTTCTTTTTGTTTATTTGATTGTTGCTCAGTGTTTTAGACAAATTGAAGTAGTTGGTTTTAGTATTTTAAAATTAAAGAGATAATATTTTTCTCTGTAGAAGGTATGCTCAATAGAATTTTTTTTAGAACATAATAGGTAGAGGAAATCAAACTGAAGATTGTCTCCATTGATTTAATAGCAAGCATTTTTACTTTACTTTGTAAATTTATTTTATATTCTTTTTGCTTGCTTAGTGAGATTGACATCCGTCTTATTTTTCTGGCTCTGGTCACATTTTAAACTGTTACTAGTTTGAATAGGATGATCACGGATGTTTTCATCCATCAAATTGTGTCACAGTTACCTGTAACTTTCAAATTTTAGACAAGTTTTTGATGAAAGGTATTAGGTAGAATTTTAGCCATAGGGATAAAATCAATAGAAAATCATTAGCTTTTACTAACTTTAATATGTTTGTATGTTCAGGGTGAAATAAGAAAGGATTTAAACATATGATTTTTTTTCCTAGACTGTAAACTTTGATTTAACAAAGAACTACTTAGATTTAATCATAACATATACAACATTGATGATACTGTTATCTCGAATTGAAGAACGAAAAGCAATCATTGGATTATACAATTATGCTCATGAAATGACCCATGGAGCAAGGTAAACCTGTATTGAGAAATCTTAGTGAAGGGGACCTACCTAGTGGCACAAAGGGTTAAAGTCTCAGCACTATGAAGCTAACTGCAGCATGAGTTTGACCCTGGCCAGGGAACTCTCCTGGCTCACTGGCCACTCCCCTCAGCAGTATATTTCATTCAGTCTGCCTTTTCTCCTCCCCCTCTGTCTCTTTTGAATCCTCTTCTCTCACCTTTCAACTCGTGGCATCTCTGGCCTACCTGCAAGCTCTAGTATGTATAAATAAATAGATCATTAAAAAAAAAGAGATCATTTGATGGCTTATAACTTAATGATTTCTAATGTCTATTTTAAGTGACCGTGAATACCCACGCCTTGGTCAAATGATTGTGGATTATGAAAACCCCTTAAAGAAGATGATGGAAGAATTTGTACCCCATAGCAAGGTGAGAGCTGTTTTTAGGTATATTTTGCTAGGCATATGAGGTAGCTTAAGAGTGGATAGTTATTTATACACTTATTTTAGGAAAAAATTATAATGGCATATGAATAAGTATGCTTAGTTTCATCTGATGGTGAACCAGAGAGTCAATGAATTAGATTACAAATAGTGTATAGAAACTCAGAATATATTGATTTAGTATAGGAGTTTGAATATAGCACATAGAGATAATAAACTGTAGTATTAAAAAATGTCTTACCTTTTATTCACATATAATGTAGTACTCCCAACTCTTGTTTTATGACGATGATGCACTTAGAAATACATAGCAGTTGGTCACTGGAATTTAAATGGAAAAGAAAAAAATTTCTTCCTTAACTTACTTTTTTCTTAACTTTATTTAGTCTCTTTCAGATGCACTAATTTCTCTTCAGATGGTGTACCCACGAAGGAATCTTTCAGCTGACCAGTGGAGAAATGCCCAATTATTGAGTCTTATCAGTGCACCCAGTACTATGCTTAACCCTGCGCAGTCTGATACCGTACGACTTTATTTTTCCTTTTTTGAATGGAAATAAAATTGATATCTTGAAAATCAATTAAGCAGTGCTGTTGCTATTTTTTGTTTCACTAGTATTAGACTATCAGTGAAGTTGATTGTAAAATGCTACTTTTTTTTTTAGTTTATAGTGCCAAGTTAATACAGTTAGCAGTATGTGTATTTTTAAAGTTTGTTTTGCTGGAAGGATGCAAAGTAAGTCAAAAGGAGAAAGATAAATACTGGATGGTTTACCTTATATGTACAATATAGGAAAATTGAACAAAGGGTCAAGAAAAAAAACTTGCAAGCTGACACAGATCTGAGGCATACAGCAGAGGAGGAGGGGAGAGAAGGGTCAAAACAGGAGGGGAAGAGCAAAAGGGTGTTATGGTGCTGGGAGAACTATGGCCAATGATACCTGAGGGGAGAAATAAAATACTGTCCAAAAATTAGCCATGTAAAAAAAAATTAATTAAAAAAGCAAAGTTTATTCTTTTGTGGTAGAAATTTGGAAGTTGCAGGAAAGTATAAGGAAAAAAAATTATTTCAAATCTTACTGGCTAGAGAAAATTTTTTTTCTGGCTCTGTTTGGATTTTTATTTATTTTTTATGTATTTTACATCCTTCTTCCTTTTTTGTACAATGTATACTTCTCCTCTCAGTTGTAGTCCCCATAAAATTCCAACCACCAATTCACTCATACACCATCACCATTGTCCCTTGTGCTCTTCCCTCCCCTGATTTGATCCCTTTCCTTCCCCATCCCCTCAGAATATCTCTTAATTTGTAGTTGCTTCTTGATTTTGCTTTTTATAATTATTTTTCCCCTGATCTCTTATTTTATTCCTGTACGTTCCTCCTATCAGTGAAACCATCCAATTTTTTTTTGTTTGTTTCTTAATTCACTGAGCATAATCCCTTCCCAGCCCCATCCATGTTGCTGTGAATGGCATGAGTTTATCTTTTTTGACAGCTTAGTAATATTCCATTGTATATATGTACCACATCTTTTGATCCAGTAATCTATTTTTGGACCTTTAGTTTGTTTCCATATCTTGCCTATTGTAAGTAATGCTGCAATAAATATAGGGATGTAGGTATCCTTTTGTAGAGAAAATTATTTTTATAATCCTTTTCAAATATTTCTGTGTATACAATATAGCTGTTACAGATATGTAAAATATACATAGTTATTTAGGTGAGACAGTGAGCATCTCTACATAGTTTCTTTTAATAATATAATAGTTTATTTTTACATCATTTTGTGCATAAATCTTTTTTAATGTGACTATAATTTTATACTTTATCCTTGACTGCAATTATAACATTATAATTTTACACTGGATTTAATTTTATCCAATGTAAAAGTATCCTTTATACTGCAAACTCTGAAATAGACTTGGAAAGATGTGAAGTTAAGATTTACCAGATTGAACACAATTCAGCAACAGTATTTTTTCTTTAATTTTTAAAAATAATATAATAATTTATTTTTACAACATTTTGTGCATTTTTCCATCTCAGTTGTAATCCCCATTGGCTTCCTATCACCAAATCATTCATGTGCGATCACCATAGTCCAGTGCATTTCCCTCCCCACACTGTTTTTGATAGCAACAGTATTTGTTAAAAGAGGTTTTTCAGGGTGTATAAATGTGAAAGAGGTACAGCTGTCAAATAATTTTTGTGAACTGCAAGTTTAAATACAGTTCATACAATTTTTGTACTACTTTAAAAATTTGCTGTGGTGGTATTGAGCCAACAATTGAGTTGTAGAGATTCACAGGAGGGAGAGGAGGAGAGAGACTCAATATGGAATTTAAAAAAAAAGATTTCTTGTAATTACATATTTATATTTCTCTTTTTAAGATGCCTTGTGAATATCTCTCTTTGGATGCAATGGAAAAATGGATTATCTGTAAGTAAAACTGATCAAACTTTAAGTTTGAGAAAAATAAAAAAGTAACATGAATTACTTCTCTTCTGTCTTCATGTTGACAGCATTAGATCTGTGTTACAAAAAGAGAACTCTAGAGTATTGTTCACTCAGTTGAAATGTGACAAAGCTAGGTAATTAACTATAAGGCCCATCTTATGCCTTTCAACATAACCTTCAAAACTCAGCTTTTTTTAAATGATTTTTTTAAAGTGTTGTATTTATTTAAGTTAGGTTTTGGTTTTAGTTTGCTTCAGTACATGCATTGATAACTTTAAACTCACTGGTTTTGTTCTTATGAAGTTCACAAATTATGTGGGAACTAGACATAGACATAGAGCTATAGTGCAGGATGAGAATTTCTTTAATATCCTTCTGCCATCCCTAAGACAACTGGGTGAGGAGAATAATTTTGACCATTTTATGTTTTTTAATTGAATAACCTTAAGATACTATTTGGTGACATCAAGTTATAGTTTATTTCAAATGAGTGGGTATTCTTTTTCAATATTTTTGTGTTGATACCTTTGTAAAATACAGTGGCAATTAATTAGTAAAGTTACCAGATGTAAAATAATAAGCAAGGACACAAAATAAAATCTACATTTTTAGTCAATAGATTCAGTTTAATCTAACAAGATTATTAGATTTCTACTCATAATTCTTTATCAAATGCTGTGAATGTTTCTAAAAACTCTACTTAACTTGTGCTCTGGCCTTTTGGCACTGTTACTGGAATGAATGAGGAGGAATTTAGCATAACTGTCCTTAGCAATTTTTATCAATAATAGTTTTTATATTGATCAGAATTATGAAATGTTTATTTTCTCCTAAATTAGTTAAGATTCTCATATTTGTTAGATTAACACTCATAGCTTTCAGAGTATTTAATTTGCTTAAATATTTGGTGATCCTTAGCAAGTTTATGTTTATGTTAGGTGGCCTGGAGTTATATATAACTCTCTAGTAGTTTCCTTAAATAGGAATGCTGGTTGCTGAGTAGTGAGTTGAGTCAGATGATTGACTACGCTAATAGAGGTTTGGTGTGTATGGACAAATTTGGGATGACCCCAATTTCCAAAGGAAGTTTTTACTCCACATTTTGCAGCTTTCGGGTATTTGAACCTTAAGTAAAACTGATAGCTTAATAGATAACTCAAACGTCGTGCTTCTCTTTTTAATATCAGTACTCACAGTAAGACTTTTATACAGAAGACTGTCTACTTTCATTGGAGCTTTGCTCTAGATTATAGTTCAAGGCAGGAACATTGTCTTAGAATTTAGATATGAAAAGTCTAGAGCACTGCCCTAGACCTACTAAATCAGAGGTGTGGATGTTTCTCAGTATCTGTGATTTAAAAAGCCTTCACGGTGATTCTGAATCAAACTGAAGTTTGGGAATTAACTAGTTTTGATTATGCCTGGGGCCGAGAGATGAGGGTCTGAAATGTTGGGGATCTCACTATTTGGAATACATTTATAGACAATTTATCTTTTCAGGTTCAATTCTTGTTCTTTTGGTTGAATTAAGGAGGACTTCTTGGCAAAAAAAACCCTCAGGTGTTTTGGATTACTAATTCCTTGATTTTTCTTTACGTTGATACTGGGTTTTATGTACATTCTATCTTCAGTGATTTTCTCCAACATCCTTGATGTTTCTTTACATTGATACTGGGTTTTATGTACATTCTATCTTCAGTGATTTTCTCCAACATCCTTGTGTAGTATTGGCCTTCAGTGTTGCCCTGTAACTTTTATATTTTAAAATTAAAAAAAAATTTTTTAATGTTCTTCAGTGGAATTTTTGTAGACAAAGAGCTAATGTGTAGTTATATTTACAAATCATTCTCCTAATCTTGGAATATCCTTTAAATTTACTTACCTTTTTTGATCTTGTATGACCATGTGAATATACTTTGATTCATAATATAATCCATATCTTGAAAAAAATGTATGATAACCTGTTGATATAGCCAGAATGTTATTATCAGCAGCAATTTCATGAATCTTAAGTTTATCATAACGTGTAATACAGTAAGTGAAATCTTACTTTTATACTTAGAGGGTTGGAGAAAAAAGCCTGTATATAGAACCAAATATTTAAACAGAGTTTCTCTTGAGACTTTCAAAGTCTATGCATATATTCCATTTTTTTGGTTGTACACTACATCAAATGATTAGCTTATGTAAATGTCTCTTTTATGTGAAACATATTTTAGGAAACTCAAGGATTGAAACATGTTTCTGTGTATATGAGTCCCACAATATATACCTATTTAAGAGAGCTAATGTGCTTAGGCAGTGACACTTTTAATGAAGGGTTAAACGAAGAATGAAAAGATAAACAAATTACGTGTGATTGAGATGGATGTGACCATTGAGAATTGGAGGAAAATCACACAGAAAATAAGACGAGTTCGTCACTGGCTTAGTAGTGTCTTAAATATAATGCACACTTAGTTTTCAATAATTTTCTCATGTGAGGTTCTAGTTTTGACAGTGATTGTGGAGGACATCAACAAACATAGAAGATGATACACATTTTTTTAAGATTTCCAAATTAGATTAAAAAAAAAGTAACAGATAGTTGAATTTATGGAATAAAGAGCAGCATTATAGATTGAAAAAATATTAGACTTAAAGCATGAACATTTGGGCCGAAGTGTAAGTTAAGTACATGTTTACCAAGTCACTGAACCTTCATTTCTTAAGTTGCTCTACTATACAGGATAATCACATGAGGTGATTTAAATGAAAAGACTTGTTTAATAATAATAAATCTTACTGTGAAAATATTGGAGGCTGTTACTTTGTCATTTCTTCTAGTGATTTAGAAATGTAATTAGGTTTATTTTTATTTTTTTATCAACTAATGATTTGTGTTTAAATGGTAACTTCTGATCTCTGGCATTTTTATAAATACTAAAACTACTTCAAATCCCATAAATGAATTTTTTGTGTGTGTCAGTATGGGTTCAAAGAACTGGATTTGCAAAAATATAGAAAACTACTAAAACAAATATTGCCATTTGTATGTATATGGTATTTCACTTGTGAGTTTCAGTGTAGTGACTGTGTTTACATTTCTGTATTTTAAATAGCCTGTAACTGAAAGAATGTACCTTTGGAATACTTTTAATATCTGTATTTGCATTTGCTTTTCTTTTTATTTGAAGTTGGCTTTATTTTGTGTCATGGGATCCTAAATACTGATGCAACAGCACTGAACCTATGGAAGCTAGCTCTTCAAAGTAGCTCTTGCCTCTCTCTCTTTCGGGATGAAGTTTTTCACATTCACAAAGCTGCAGAAGACTTATTTGTAAACATCCGAGGGTATGGCATTTTCAGTTACCTTGTTTTTTTGGAAAAGTGTAGTGAGTGGATTATCTTAACTGAAGTTTTAGAAGGAAGAAGGGTAATATGCAGAAAGATACACCCATGTTACCAGTTTTGTTGAGTACTGATTATAATAATCATGCCGATATGATAGTAATCACATTTTTTTACAGGTAATGTAATAGATTAAAATGGCTCTTTAAAAACTTGTATTTTATAAGAAAGTTGTATTCTCTTTTGTAAGTCATAACCAGTTAAACAAGACTGACCATTCTAATAGAAAATCATGTTTCTTATGGTAGAGTTTCACAAATTAATTATACTTATTCCCTGTAAAACAAATCTCAGAAATTTGTGTAATGTCTACATTTCTTTCCCGTTGAGGTACTGTATTCACATACAAGAGCCAAGTTCATCTCAGGATTAGTAACAGTTATGAAATCTTTTGAAATTAGGAGCCTCTAAAATATTCCGGGATCCCCTGTCACTGAAAGTGTTGAATAATTATGTTGTCCTTGTTAGCCGCAGATAGAAATGAAATTTATTTCATATTCAACTTAGTAATGCCCTAGTGAAAATGAGATAAAATAAAACATCTATTAGTTATTTAAAAAATAAGGATCTGTCTAGTACTATCAGTTTAAGCTAACATGTCTCATATTTCAGTGTGCATAAGAGTTGCCTTGGAATGTGAACTAAAAGTTTAGCTTAGGCAAGACCTTAACTTTCTATGCCTGTGTTTTGGAGAGATTAAAGGAATCTGATCTTTTCCAAAACCCAGTATTTTACTGAGAAAATTTACAAGACTTGACTTCATTCCTAGAGTGCTAGGGAAGGATGTAGGTAGACTTCTTGCATGTATTTCCGCTTTCTGAGTCAGTTTTTCCTATTGATAAGTTATTTTTAATTGTCTTTTAAACTAATTTTTGAAGTTAATAATCAAATTCAATTAACTTTTTTTTTTTGCATAGCTATAATAAGCGTATTAATGATATAAGAGAATGCAAGGAGGCAGCCGTGTCACATGCGTAAGTAGTTTTATTTGTGGGACTTTTAATCAAGAATTTCATAATGCATTATTTCATTGAAGTGAGTGTAGATTACTGTTGTGCAACATAGTAGTAGGTATGGGAACTTCTAATCAATGAGAAGTGATTATATAACTTTAATTTTTAGTAACTTTAGAATTAGTGCTGGCAGATTTAAATTTTTTTTAAAGATGTATTTATTTATTTATGTATATAAGAACTGGTATATAGGCCAGGAGGTGCGGTGGGTGAGGGGATTTACCAGAGACAGAGTGGAGAGCAGAAAAGGCAGATCTACTGAAATACACTGCTGAGGGGAGCAGTGGGTGAGACAGGAGAGGTCTGCTGCACCATGTGGGTCACCTCCCTGGCCAGGAATTGAATTTGTGTCGCAATGGCTGTGGATAGCCTTGCAGTGCTGTGCTTGAACCCGTTGCAATTTTTATTTTAGACATTATTTATGTCTGTTAGTGCCAGTGTGATTTCTGTGTAAAGTGTCATGATTTTTATGTTATTTCATGAAAATTCACCTATCTTTACCCTTTCCCAAATAGTTTTACCTTTTAAATTGTTATCTCCAATCATTAGTAAATATGCTAACTTAAATGAAACATTAGTGTATTTAATATCTTTGAACACTTCTCAGTTTTCTTTATGAAATAATTATAAGTAACTTGATATTTCACTCTGTTACTATGCATATGTTATGCTTGTGTAGGATGTTTTTTCTAGTGAGCCTTTGTTATATGAAGATAACATTATTTAATGTGTCAGTATTTCTACAAGGCTGAGAGAAGACAGACACACTTTTGCCATAGATGGAAGTATAAAGTAGGCTACAGGATGAATATTCAGAATTTAAGCTGTCTTTATTCATTGCTCTGTGCTGTAGCATTTCCTCATGCATATTTTTCTACTTGAATGAAGTGCTTATATTACTAAAAAAAAAAAGTCGTGTACAGATAACATACATTTTTGGAATTTGTTAGAATTCGTTTTCTGACTATGGAAATACATGTGATTATCACTTTTTCACAAGATAGACTAGTTATCAACATATGCATGTCTTAGTTATCTTTTATAAAGATCTTTTAAAAGTAGATAATTTTAGTCCCTTTATCATTTATATACTTATTCTAAATAGTAAATAATACTAATTTCTATCCTTAGCATAAGGCTAAGGATAGACATTTTCTCTTCACCAGATTGCTCCATATTCCCTGTACCAATCTGGTGAAATAGTCAAAATAACATTTGCCCTTTTTTTCTTAAGAATTAGAACAGATAAAAATGACCTTTATTGTTGGATAAAAATGACCTTGTCATTGAAATGAAAGTAATATTGTAGGATTATTATACATCAGGCATTACAAAAGATACGTATCTTTTAAGGTAGGCATCATGATCCTTGTTTTATAAATAAAGACTAAAACAGAGAAGTAGAATCTAAGGTCACATAGACAGAAGTGAGATTTTTAATCAGTGTGTTTTAAAACTGATCTGCTATATCATAGCTAAATTTCTGGTATTGTATGCTCCTTATGCTTGGTTTTGGCATATGAACATAGATTTTATATGCCTTTCTAAATTTTAAAACTTTTCTTGGACTAGTGCATATTTTGTATTGTATGAAGAGTCGGAATACTTAGAACGTTCTGTGATTCCATGTTATTATGTAAGAATAAATTCTAATGTGTACTTTAAATTTCAAGTACCAAGTATGTTGATATTTATGATTATTCATTCCTTTACTCATTTTTCTGTTTTTGAGCAAGCGTCAAATCTCATTCCAATATCTTTATACAATGCTTGTTTTGCCAATTCCTTATATTTATTAGAAATATTCTTAATAAATGAGAATATGGATAATCAGATATTTATTAAGCTATATTTATTGATTTTTATATGGGTGGGTGGCAAAACATACAGTTTGACAGTATGAATGTTAAGGATTCTCAGATGACCACTTAAACAGTGCTAATGTATACAGTAGTAGAAATGTAGAAATTATTCAGAAATGGATGTCTGACTATTAAGAACTGTTTTTTGAAGGTTGGGTTTCTTGAAGGCTGGGTAGGACTTTGATAAGCAGAGAATAGCAAACATGTTTAAAAGAGCACAAGAAAGACTAGGATAATAAATATGCAAATGAAGTCATTAAATGACAAATATTTAAGAAGGTGATTTTTTTGTAGGGGCTTCTGCTTTGTAAGACAAATTTGACTTTGAAACATTAAGTTTACTTTAATTGCTAATAATAATTTTAGTACAGTCAGGTAAATTTATAATGATGTTTTTTCCTATAGTGGTTCAATGCACAGAGAAAGACGTAAGTTTTTAAGGTCTGCACTGAAAGAATTGGCTACAGTCCTGTCTGATCAACCTGGCTTGTTAGGTCCCAAGGTAAGTGATTTCATTCCTATTTTATTTGTAAGTATATCGCTTTATAATTAGCAATTTTTCTGTGTGAAATTTTGTTAAAATTTGAGTCAGGAACTACATAAATGCATTTTGTGTTTGGTTGAGAACGAATACATCACTTGTACATCACACCTTCCAGCATTTTCCTCACTTCTTGCTTATGTGAATGTTCTCCGTCGCTGCATGCTTCCAAGTCTTCTATCCTCATGTCTTTTCTCTATTTTAAACTCGCTAATCACTTTTTGCTTAGAGAAAAATTGTCATTAAGTTTGGTTTTTAATCTTTCCATGAGAATAAGCAGTGTTTTCTCTTTTAACCAGGCACTTTTTGTTTTTATGGCATTATCCTTTGCCCGTGATGAAATTATCTGGCTACTTCGTCATGCAGATAATATGCCAAAGAAGAGTGCAGATGACTTTATAGATAAGTAAGTTAGCATTAAAAAATAATAAGCTTATATTCTGCTTTCTGTGTTGTGGAATGTGTAGACTTTGAGATTAACTTTTTCTTTTAATTATTAAAACCTTTTTCAGATTTATATATAGTAGAGGAATATTTGTATTATATCATTAGATAATAGGAACGAGAATGCAAAGTCAACTTTAGCTTTAAAATTAGGGCTTTTTATGTTTTCTTCTTATTACCCAAAGTGGTAATAAAATTTGTAGGTTTTGTTGTTGTTATGTCTGTAATATTTCTTACGGAATTTGGTTTTTTCAAAATGATTTACTACATGAACCATTAAGAAAAATTCTTATAGAGTGGCAATTGAGTCTCTCATTTGAAGTTTTTCCTTATTGTCTTCCACAGTTGTCTGATTCCTTCAAGAGGAAACAAAAAATTAAGAAAAACAATGAGCATACAGAAAAATGTTATTTTCTTTCTAATTCTTGAATTCTTTCATTTGTGATATTTTAAACATATTTATGAGATTCCCTAATGCTAATTTCATTTTGGATTTTCCATTCGTTTAAAAAGATAGTTATTGTCATTAAATGTTTAACAGTGCCCGAGGGGAAAACTTCTTATATTAATATCAGAAGTGGTTATTAATATTTCCCTTGATAACAATGAATTTATGTTTGAATTTTTTTTGAATGTTTATAAAAGGCACATTGCTGAATTAATATTTTATATGGAAGAGCTTAGAGCACATGTAAGGAAATATGGACCTGTTATGCAGAGGTATTATGTGCAGTACCTTTCTGGCTTTGATGCTGTTGTCCTCAATGAACTTGTGCAGGTAAAACCTATCTCATGTTATTCTCTCTTTGATTTCTTCTTATTTCCTTTCCAGTAACTAATTTTTTTACTCAACTAGCATATGTAAAGTATAATCTCATGGCCAAGTGTACAAATGTAAATAAGGTACAAATGTACTTAAGCTATGATAATATCTTGTCAATGGGATCATTGTCAAGAGAGAGAAAAATCTTTTAGTTGTATTTCAGGGCAATAGGCATTGTGCTTAAGTGTGTATAAAGTTCAAAGGGAACAAAATAAAGCACCTTTCTAAAGGTGCCTATGAAAGAGATGATTTAGTCATACATAAATCAGATTTACTATTTAGAAAGCTTAACCTTGGGTCAATGTTCATCATGGCTTGCTAGGGGCTACGTGAGGATGCAGAGAGATCAAAAAACATTACTACAATGGATTGAAGATTTTAACTAGTAAGGGCCCCTCCCTGGTGGCACAATGAATTAAGGTGCAACACTATGAAGCAGTCCACAGCCTGTGCAGTACGTTTAATCCCCAGCTGGGGAGGTGGCCCAAATGGCATAGCAGACCTCTCCTGACCTGCCCTTGCTCCCCTTAGTGCATTTCATCATCTGCTTGTCTGCTCTCCACTCTGTCTCTGGTGAATACTCTCATGCACTGCACCTCAGGCCTGTACCCCAGTTCTTGTATGCATAAAAATAAATAAATCTTGGGCCCTCCCTGGTGGCGCAGCGGGTTAAAGCACTGCACTGAGAAACTGAAGCCACTTCCGCATGAGTTCAATCCCCGCCTGCCCCGGAGGCGACCACATGGCGCGGCAGACCTCTCCTGACCCGCCCGCTGCTCCCCTCAGCAGTGTACTTCGTCCATCTGCCTGTTCTGCTCCCCAATCTGTCTCTGGTGAATCTTCTCACCCTCCGCAACTCTGGCCTGTACCCCAGTTCTGTACGAATAAATAAATAAATCTTTAAAAAAAAAAATCTTTAATTAAAAAGTTCAGTGAGAACCTGAACTTGAACAGTAGCAGTGGAGATAAAGAGGAGATGATGGAAACAGTGTAATTGATAATTAAATGTCAGAAGAAAAATAAATGATAAATCTTTATCATAATGTGTTTGAAAATAGCCAGTAAATAAAATTCCATGTATATGTCCTAATTTGAGTAAATTTTATATTCAATTGGGATTTTCCTCTATTTATTTTAGTCTTTGCTTTTAGTTTCTTTCCATAATTTCTTTATTCAGTCTATTTCATCCTGATATAAATTTATTTTACTGTTACTCCAAATAGACTGTAAGAAAGACAGTATTTTATTTTGCTTGATGTTATAAAATCACAGATGTTCAAAAACTATTGTATGTTAACTGATAGTATAGGAAAGAATAAAACAATTCCTGTATGAAATCTTAATTTATTTTATACCTGCCTACAAGTGCAAATAAGAAAAGAAAAACTCTTCGTGCAATTGCTTACCTTGAATTATATTCAACTTATAGGTTGTTCTTCTAAACTAGTTTGTTTCTTCACTTATCCATACCCACTAGATGGAGCTCAGATGCTTTCTAGAATGTCCATTTAAAATAGGAATAGTAAACTTTATTTTATCTTAGTGTTAATTCTTTGCTATAATTTTATTTGAATAGTTATTTGAGTAAGAAAGAGGTGGTTGTGCTGTCACAATCTAAAAAGTAAGCCAGAATGTTGATTTTATGTCATTTTGAAATATGCTGTCTAGTTGTGTATTAACTTTACAGATACATATTTTCATGTTAAAAATTTAAGTCAGTCCATATTTTGGCATCTTTCATTTGAAACAGATTTTAGCAATACTGAGGAAAATTAATTTCTTAATTTTGTGGGATTATAGCTATATAATAATTACAATGGAAGCAGCAGCAATAACACTTACTAATAATTGACAAATTTAATCTACACGGCAATTCTGTGAGGATAGGTATAATTATTATTTATTGAAAAGAAAACTATTAACTTGCCCAGTGTCACACAGTTCATAAATAAAAGCCAGTATTTGAACCTGTGGTAACTCAAGTGCCTGAGCTTGTTATGATTCTCTTCTGTTGTAAAGTAAATGCATTATAAATGTGTGGCGTAGTGACATTACATAGTCTCACTGTTACGTGTTATTATTTGAAAATTACTTAAATGCTGTTTGTGAGCTCTAAGCATCCACTTTTTAAATTATTATTTAGCAATTTAGCATTCATCTCAGATTGGGTCAAATATTCATCTTTTGGGGGATATTTTAGAGGATTTCTTTGTTGATTTTGTTGGGGTATAATTTATATATGATAAAAATCATATATATAGTTTGCATCTTGACAATTCTATACATTCATGTAATTAAAACTGTGGTTAAGGCATGAAACATTTTCAACATTTTTTAAAAGTTTCTTGTGCACCTTTGTAGTTGATTCCCTCTCCCGACCTCTGACAATTACTTTTCTGTGGTAATAAGTATTGTCACAGTTTTTTAAAAGGTTCGTGTAAATGGGATCATATACAATCTTTATTTCTTTTACTTAGCACGTTTTTGAGATTCATCCATATTCTTATGTGTTTCAACATTTCATGTTTCTTGCTGAAAAATATTTTATAGTATGATTATATTAGTTTATCCATCAAGCAGTTGTTGGACCTCATGTTAAACATTATTTTTTGGTTTTCTTTTTTTTTCCAGAATCTCTCTGTTTGCCCTGAAGATGAATCAATCATCATGTCCTCTTTTGTTAATACTATGACTTCCTTAAGTGTAAAACAAGGTAATAAGCCTTTTAAGTAACAGCATTTTTCTTCTAATGAGATTTCAAATTTGGTAATTAAGGAAAGACTTAAAAGTTAATTTTTATAGACTTAACTTGTCTTACTTTTGAATATATCTAATGTTTTATTTTGACTTTCTGAAGTAAAAGTTCTCCAAGTGGGTGTTGTGATTGTGTTTATAAAAATTATAAGAACTATGACTTAAATTTCATATTTTTTAGCAGAGGTGAAAGGCATTTTATAATAATACTAGTAAATATTATATTGTATCATAACAAAAGTGTGGGTATTTTTTCCAAGCATTCCCTGTGACAGTGACTGATGAAATGTTTAATTTGTGCAGGCACTTTACTTATATTATCCCATTTAATCAGTATTAGTTTTGAAAAACTGTTATTACATTTATTTGACTGATCTGGAAACTCAGGACTTGAAATTTAACCTCTCAGGTATTTAGTTAAGATTTGCCTAAATCCTGATACTAATAATCAGAATAGGAATTTGAGTTCACCTGTCAACCTCAGAATTAATGTCATATTCTAGACTGCTTCTCCAGTATTTGAATGTTTTAGTTCTGTAATTCTTTAAGTAAATTTTTACTGTGATAACATTTTTTACAGCATTATTTGTTTCCCGTACATTGTATTTCTATCCATCACCGTACTGTTCACCCCCTTTCCTGTTTTACCACCTAGTTTGTAATCTTTAATTAAAAGGTTTCAGAGACCTTGAAAATTTTAGCTGTATATAAGTTAATTTTTATATTTCTGACACCTAAATAGTAAAACTCTTGCATACTTTCCCAGTGACATTTTATTGAATTTCAGCATGCTTTCCAATGTTTCTATTCACAGGATTTCTCAAGCTCCATTTAGCTTTTTCAAATTAATATGTAAGCCCATTGAAAATCAGAGTTAGGAGACAGAACTATATTTCACTTTTCTGCATAACTGCCTCTATATCGTTACTTTTATAGATTTTGAGATTATTTCACTCAGCTAATACTTTTTAATTGTATAAGAATACATATATAAGATAAAATTTACTGTCTTGCCAATTTTAAGAGTGTAAGTTCAATAGTGTTAAGTATATTCATATCATTGTACAACCAATCTCCAGAAATCTTTCATCTTGCAAAACAAAATGTGGGTGTGTTAAATACCAACTCTCCATTCCCTAGCATCTACCATTATGCTCTGTTTCTTACAATTTCAACTACTCTAGATACCGCATATAAGTGAAATCATTAGGTGCTTGTCTTTTTGTCACTGACTTGTTTCATTTAGGTTGATCTCCTCAGGGTTCAGCCATGTTTTTAAGGTTGAATAAAAAACCTGTGTGTGGCTGTGTGTGTGTATCAAATTTGTTTGTCCACTTATCTGTTGATGGACATTGGGGTTGCTTCCACTTTTTGGCTATTGTGAATAATTTTGCTGTGAACTTGTGTGTATAAATACATGCATGGGTCTAGTCTAGTTCCTGTTTTTTATTCATTTGTATGTATGCTCTGAAGTGGAATTGTTTTCATTCTTAAATTTTAAAATATGATAGATTTGTAAAAAGATTAATTTGCTTGTGTGGTTTTTTTTCTGTTACTATAGTTGAAGATGGGGAAGTTTTTGATTTCAGAGGAATGAGATTAGATTGGTTTAGATTACAGGTAAGAATAACTCATTGATTTTCTTTGCCCTTTTTTTTTATTGAATGTCTTAGTTAACATGAAACTTTAGCTAACATAAAAAATTGTTATATCCCTAATGAAGACTCTTTCCTTATAGCTTTCCATATTCTGTATGTCATAGAACATTTTTAGTTAAAATATAATTGACTCATGACATAATAGTTTCAAGTGTGCAACATGAATCAATGTAGGTATATGTTTAAAATGATCACAGCAATAAATCTATTAATATCCATCACCATACATAGGTACACATATTTTCTTCATGTTATGAGAATTATTTAATCTATTCTCAGCAATTTCCAGAAACACAATACAATATTGATCATTGTAGCCTGCACACTATATACTACCTTCCCAGAAGTTATTCTTGTTCTTTGTGCCCTTCTGAAATGCTCACTATATAAGGATAGAATTCTGTTCACTGTAATTTTATAATTGTAGGTGGAATTTCTTTCCATATGCCCTGTCCCTATGGTTTTGGTTAAATCCTATCTCCTTTTTGGCTAACCCACACTAATTGGTACTATTTTCATTTTTTTCTAGAATCCATTAATATAGTATATTGTTTTTGATGATTTCATGTAATCTACAACTGTTGAATCAACATATGCAATACTTACTTTAATCTGTTTCCTTTGCATGCTTTCTCTTATGCTAGATGGAAAAACTTTTACTAGGATTAACAGGATATAACAGGACAATATTTGATAAGTGTGATATTGTACCATCATTTCCTTTGAGGTTTGAGATGAATGACTCATATATTAGATTCTGTTTTATGGGATTTTAGATTCTGTTTCTCAATCCACTGGTGTATTATTTAAAGAAATTCTTGATAAGAATTTCAAATTTGGGTCATTGTAAACAATTTTTAAAAGTTGACTTTACTATTACAGTGTCAACAGTAAATGTTACATTTAATTTTTAATTATGGGATTTTCCTACAGAATGACAAAACTAAAGTTATCAGTTCGTGTTTAAACTACTTTTGTTTTTTTCTCTACTTCTACAGGCATATACTAGTGTCTCTAAGGCTTCACTTGGCCTTGCAGATCACAGAGAACTTGGAAAGATGATGAATACAATCATTTTTCATACAAAAATGGTAGATTCCCTGGTGGAAATGCTGGTAGAAACATCAGATCTTTCCATATTTTGGTATGTTGCAATTTTCTCTAAATCAGCATTTAAAGTTTTTAGTATTCACAGATAGGTTTCTTGATTCTTTTTGTGTTAGAGTTGTTAAAGAGAGTTTGGTGATAAACTCTTAATTAAAAGAATAAAGGCATAGCAGAGGACTTGCCCGGTGATCTAGTACCACAGTCCATTGTAATCTCTCCCTTCCTCTCACACGCTAGGCATACAAATTGCTTCAAGAAAATTTTGAGGCACATTGGTTAAAGACTTAGTAGTGGTGGGTGTAATATGATAACACACCTGAAAGGTATCAGTCTACACCCCTAAATAATACAGTGTTGTAAAACAATGTTATTTCAATAAATAAGTAAATGAATAAAGATCCTTTTGGCTTTGAATATATCACATGTCCAATGTATAAGAATTTTAAAGATTATTAAAGGATTTTAAAGGTTTTATTCTGAGCCAAAGACAGTGCTATAAAGAAAGGAGAAATTTTATATTTAGGTATTTCTGAACCTAGGTTCTTATTTTGAAAGAGGGATACGACAGTTTTTTACCTTTTTTGCAAATAAAATTTCCTTGAATAATGTTTAAAATTTGTAATGTAATCATGTTTTACCAATTATTTTTATCCATATTTTCTTCTAATCACACTCTTATTTTACTATCATACCAAAATAAAGAGTTGCTTGTTATTATTTATTCTGAGTTGTACTGTATTTTATTGACTCATTCATTTACACTTAACATCTCTTAAATCTGGAAGTAATTTAAAATTGTGGCTGTGTTATTGTTTGGCAATATTTTTCTTTTTTAGAGGTACATAGAGTAGTGATGTTTCTTAAAATTGAGAGTCACTTAGCTTGGTGAAATTAGATCATATAAGATTTGAATCTTATACTCATATGTTATTGGTATGCTTTATTTTCTAAATTTTTTTATTTTACAGTTTGTTAATATTATGCAAATATATCCCTTTATTACTTTGACCTGATTTATTAGTATATAAACCTGATTTATTAGTATATAAGATATATTTTTTGGTAGATAACTACTCTTCAGGGAATACATGCTACTAGTTGGTTGCATAAATTCACTTTTACCAAACTAAATAAACCATAACATATTGTATAATTAAACTGATTTTAACTATGACAATTCTAATTCTAATTTTTAATTTATTTTCTTCTATAGCTTTTATAGTCGTGCTTTTGAGAAGATGTTTCAACAGTGTTTGGAGTTACCCTCTCAGTCCAGATACTCAATTGCATTTCCACTACTTTGCACCCATTTCATGAGTTGCACACATGAACTGTGTCCAGAGGAGGTAATTTCATAGTAGCATTGTGATTTGTATAGTATCTGGAATAAACTAGAACTTTGTGCTGCCTTCCAAATGTTCATAGTTTTTTAACTACCTAATCTAGCTTCCAATGTAATGCCTCTCTTGCAAAATCAGAAGAATGCTTGGGTAGACACTCTCTCTCTCTTTCTCTCTCTCTCTCTATATATAGAGACATATATATATATATATATATGTTTACAAGAACATAAAAAATTGACTTGAAATTATCCTATATATATATATATATGTTTACAAGAACATAAAAAATTGACTTGAAATTATCCCTATTAAAATAATTGGTGACTCAGGTATTAATATTTTTGTTGAAGTTTTATTCAGTAATTAATGCTGTATGGTCTCTTTCCTCTTTAAATTATCATTGAAGAGTTAAAAATTGAATTTACAGATTATTAGGTATAAATATGTGAAAGAGGAATTTAATTGACTTGTTAATATACATAGTTACAATATAGTTCAGCAAAATCCTCGTTTGCTGATATTTGTAAGACATACACAAGCATCTGGGCAAAGACAATTAGTGAATAATTAATTGAACTACTCAGTAGTTCTAATAGGCAAAGTATCTGTCAAAATGTACTGCATTTCTTTTGATTTTAAAGAAGAAATAACTGGTGGGAAATATCTCTTAAGTGTGGTAAATTCATCAAAATTAAGTAATATATATCTTTGCAATTTTATTATTGAGTCCCTTTATTTACAATCACAGAATTTGTAGAAAAGAGACATAGACAGCACCGTTGAAGTATTAGGTAGTATTTGTTGCAGGCTGTATTCCAGTGTATCTTTGGAAGCTAGCTCTGATAGAGATAAGCCTGCAGGAAGTTTTTTTAGGGAGTATTTTTATGATCAGTACCTATGAAGCTATCACTACCAATTTTAATAGATACATAGATTTTTTTTTTAAGATTTATTTATTTATACAGGCCAGAGATGCGGAGGATGGGAGTATTCATCAGGGACAGAGTGGGGAGCAGAACAGGCAGATTGATGAAGTACACTGCTGAGGGCAGGTCAGGAGAGGTCTGCCACGCCATGTGGTCACCTCCGGGGCAGGCGGGAATCAAACTCATGCGGAAGTAGCTTAAACTTTTTGGTGCTAGGCTTTAACCCGCTGCGCCACCAGGGAGGGCCCAATACATAGATTTTTTTTAGAGTTAATACATTTTTCTCCAAGCTCTACACCTAAGATATATTATTAATTTTTTTCTTTATAGTCATCCTTCCCGTAAAATTACTCATTATGTCCTCTAAATTCTATTTGTGTGATATCATTTCCTGAATCCATCCTCTACTTTCCATTGCTGTTGTCACTTTGTAGTTCAGGGTTTTCAGTATTCTCATGTGTGCACTAAAAACTTTTCCTGCCTTTAAGGTTGTCTAATACAGTATCACCAGAGTGTCTCTTTCCTTTTAACAAACCACCTCTGGTTTTCCACTGCATATGAAGAGTAAAAATGTTTCAACATGGCATTTAAAAATCTCAGCAACTTGATACCTAACCCCATTCTTTTTTTTTCTGGCCCATTAAATACTGTGAGGAAAAAAATACAATAGTTTGTTCTTTAATATATAGTTCAGTGTCATTTAATTACCTTCACAGTGTTGTATAGCCATCATCACTGTCCATTTATAAAATTTTCATCAGTCTTTAGCTTTGCCTTTTTATATATCCAAACTCACTATATTTATATGTCTCTCATGCTTATCTAAGCCACATCATTTTTTGCCTTGGTACTATTGTCTACTAAGTGGTCTCTGCTTCTGCCATTAAGCATTTTGCCAAAGTTTTTGGTCTTCTTTTCTTAAGTTTTATTTATTTATGCACATAAGGGTTCTGGGGCCAGAGATACAGGGAGTGAGAGTATTCCCTAGGGACAGAATAAGGAGCAGAAAAGTAGGTGTACTGAAATACACTGCTGAGGGGAGTAGAGGGTCTGCTGTGCCATGTGGGTCAACTCCTTGGCCTTGGACTGAACTTGAGCTGCATTGGCTGGGATAGCGTCATAGTGCTGAGACAACCCCTTGTGTCACCAGGGAGGGCCATTTTGCCAAAGTTTTATTCTCTGTTGCCGGCAAAGGAGTAAGGAAGATCATGGAGAGAATTTATGAACTGTTAAGAAAAGTTAGTGTTTCTTTTTCCACTCTCACCATTTCTGAGCCTTTAAGGGTAGTCATGGAATAGGATGTATATTTTAAATCAGTCCTGTAGATTTAGAACAATGCTAATTCAGTGTTCTTTTTCCAGAAGGAAGTAGTAGCAAGGGACATGTTTTTATCTTTTAGAGGTCAGAATTTGGTTAAACAAACCCCAGAATGTTTAGTTTGAAATCTTTCCTCAAGTAAAATGAACCAAAATTTAATTGTACTTGACTTATAAACCCCTTTTGGCTTGGCTTCTTTAATAGTAAGTTTTAAAAGGCATTTTAAATAAAATATAAGGCATCACCATAAATTTAGGAAGTTAATTTCCATGTTTAAGTATTTTGTGTTCTTATGTTAATTTATATTCATTTCCACATAGAAATAATGATGGAGTCTCTGTTTTTATAGTTGTAGAAGATCAGGGAAGGAAAATTTAAATTTTTTTTCTCTTTGTAATGCAAATAAATAGAAGACATTTTATAGCATTATATATTCAACATTAGAGTTACCATTGACCAGAAAATAGCCTAGTAAACTCACAGCACCCACTATACTAAAAAGATACAGAATCTATGATAGAGATTTTGAGTATGTTTATCTGCACATATATATCTAAGCTCCTAAAATTTAAATATGATATCCTTCCCCTCCACTGTGTTCAGAAAATATATGGTCGGTTTTTTTCTCTCCTAGACAGAGTGTTTGATTTAAGGAAGAGTTAAATACTTTGTGAATTTATAAATTTGTTTTTACAGAAAATGTATGGTCAGTTTTTTCTCTCCTAGATAGAGTATTTGATTTAAGGAAGAGTTAAATACTTTGTGAATTTATAAGTTTGTTTTTACTGACTTGACTTCTAATGATTTTTTTTAAGTATTTGGGCTTTTCTGTTAATACACTACAAAGTTGTTTGTTGTATCAAGATAGATTTATGAAGTTGGACTGAAGCTTTACTCTAAATCCAGTCTGTGCTTTAATGTTACACTTTTGGTATTTGTATACTTTAGTATTATAAGAACTGAATCTGAGACCTTGTAGAATTAGGAAGTAATAGTTTTTCATGTTAAGGAAAAAACTGGTATTATAACATTCCTTCCACTCCTGCTTGTATAGTTGCCAAGTTTGATATGTTAAAGAGGTAAAGAGAAATTTTATAATGTATCTCATGCCCATCTATCGTTGTAGAATAAGTCATTAACCTAATTTTCCATGTTTATTTAAATAATGTTTTAATTTATACTACTTTCTTTTATTTTTCTGCTTTCACAGCGGCATCATATTGGAGATCGCAGTCTTTCCTTATGTAATATGTTCCTAGATGAAATGGCAAAACAAGCTCGAAATCTTATCACTGATATTTGCACAGAACAGTGTACTCTTAGTGATCAGGTATAATTTAAATATTTCTTTACAGTTAAGGAATCTGTGTGAAGGCAAGTGAATTGTCAGCCAGTTATTTCACTTCCTAGCTTTTTCTTTTCAGGCTTTTAAGTAAATTTCATTACCTCTTTTTGTCAGATTCCATTATTAGTTTTTAAAAATGCTGCTACTGTCTTTTGAATTGATGGTGAGGATCTCGTTTCCAGCTTGACATTCAAGTCCCTTTCTGATAATGCAAACCTTTCTTCTTACCTTGGACTTTCATTGGCCATTTTCCTTCAAACAAAATGTTCTTTCTAATTTCTTGCTTTTGTATATTTTTGCCTGTTCTTTGAGTCTTTTATGTAACTTCCTCTGTGAATTGTTTTTTACCTAAGACTTACCTATTTCTGTTCTCCACCAAGCTATGTGGGTTTCACAGACCCTTGGAAAATGCTACATCTCACATATGCTATATCTCTACTCTTATTGTTACTGTGATATTTGCCAAATAGTCTGAATTCAACTAAAGTTTGCTTGAGTAGTAAGAATGATTTCATAGTCATTGGTTAAATGTAAAATTTCACTCTTTAAATTTCTTTTAGTTGCTGCCTAAGCATTGTGCCAAAACCATTAGTCAAGCAGTGAATAAGAAGTCAAAAAAACAGACTGGTAAGAAAGGGGAACCCGAAAGAGAAAAACCAGGAGTTGAGAGCATGAGGAAAAATAGACTGGTAGTGACCAAGTAAGCCATTTTTACATCCTTTTGATATAGGTAGTTTGTAGGGTGGGGGTTAAAATACTATAAGAGATCTTTAATTTTCAGTTTATTTAAAATAACTTAGATCTAAGATTTTGCCCTGTTGTGATATTAGAGCTATGTTTGGTGTCACTTATTTTTAAAAGGATGAACCTCATCTGGTAGCATTTGCTTCTTTGGAGGGAAATCAAATCTGGGCAACAATCGATGGATATTATTTTGTTAAAGTAAATTTCCAGCTCTTTTGCTTGCTACATTGAATATGTTTTATAGTTAGGTGTTTTCCTTTCTAATAAAACATATACCAGGAGTTTGAAATAGTTGTTTTTATGATGAGGATAGAATAAACTCTTTCTTAATAAGTCAATATATTCTGTGTCTTTTTTTCTTTTAAAGTTTTTAAAAAATTCATGCTTAGGCTCTTCCTGATGGTACATTGGGTTGGAAGGCAGCACTATAAATGAAGCTTTCTGCAGCCACTTCAGCATGAATTCAATCCCCTGCCCGGGAGATGACCCACATGGCATGGCAGACCTCTCCTGTCTGCTGCTCCCCTCAGCAGTATATTTCAGTATATCTGCCTATTCTGCTCTTCAGTCTGTCTCTGGTGAATCCTCTGAACGCCCCTGTACCTCTGGCCTGTACTCCAGTTCTTGTATGCATAAATAAATAAATCATTTTTAAAAATTATGCTTTCAAGAACTGGGCTGTAGGTTAGAGTTATGGTGAGGGAGGTGGGGGTGGGGAGCAGAACATTCAGATCTGCTAAAATAAACTGCTGAGGGTGGGGAGCAGTAGGCGAGACAAGAGGTCTGTTGCACCAACCTGTGTGGGGTGGGTTTGGCTTCCTGATCAAGGATTGAACTCAAGCTGTTAAGATGATAACACTGGGTTTTAACTGCAATCCCTATGTATTTTTTGTATCTTAATGTAGAAATGAATGATGCTATCTTTAGAAAAATTGCTCTCACAGATTAGTAATAGTCTTAAAATAATTTGAACTTTTTTATTTTGGGAGAGAAAAAAAATTAAATTCTGCAGTTATCATCCCCAAGTAAGGTTAATTATATCTATAAAGTTATTTTGTATTGGTATGTGAAATAAATACCTTATTTACTATTCACTTGTATTTTTTTCAGCCTTGATAAATTGCACACTGCACTTTCTGAGTTGTGTTTCTCCATAAATTATGTACCAAACATGGTGGTTTGGGAGCATACCTTTACCCCACGGGAATATTTGACTTCTCATCTGGAAATCCGCTTTACTAAGTAAGAAAGAATATAAATTTGTTATTTGTCAGTTCAGTTAGTGAGTTTGTTGTGTTTATTCTTAATACCTTTACAGTGTCTTTTTATAAGGAAACAAATTCAAGGGATGCAAGAATAATGAATTGGGAAGTATAAAAAATAGTGAACAAGGATTTGTTTATGTTACCCATTTTCCCATACTTGTTATCAAGTAGTATAACACTGGACAACTCAGTTAATATCTGTTAGCGTTACAACTTCTTAGAAGCAAATGAGAAAAGAATGGAACAACTCAGTATGTTTCAGCTGACAGGTGGCAACCCTGTAGGGTCATAAAACCAGTTTAGAAAGTTAGAATCAACCTTTAAAAAAAAAGGAGGGAGGGAAAGAAAGAAGAAGTAGGGGAAAAATTAGTGCCTTGCACATAAAATAAATATTACTTCATGAAACTTTTCTGTTAGGCCTCACTTGACATTGTTCATTGAATCTTGAAAACTATGACTTTAAAGGAAACTATGCGTAATAAAACCAGTTTTTCCACAGGGTATTTGATATAATTAAGAGTTAGGTTTATAGGTTGTGTTTCTGGTCACAGAAAGATCATCAAACTTTTAAATAAAGACTTCAAAAACAATTTATTATAATACAGAAAAAAAAAATTATTCATTTTCTAATTTATCCCAGTTCATGGCAAGGAAGGTCAGGGCTTGTCCAAGTTGCCTAGGTATAAGGTCCAGCTCTAGACAAGATGCCTTTCCAGTGAACTTGCCAATTAACCTATGCACATGTTTGGGATATAGAGGAAACCCAGAGAAACCAGCAGCATGGGGAGAGCACAGACTTTACAGTGAACTTGATTGTAAAAGATGTTACTTGTTGCTGCTTGCATGTAACTTAAGTTGTGATGCTAGTTATATATCTTATAATGACTCACATTTCATGGTTGAGAAAATAGGACAAGATGAACTCAAGTCTTTCTGAATTCAAATGTATCTATGCTAGTAGAATTCTAGGCTCTTGAGAAGTCAAATCTAATTAAAATTTGTTATTCTTGAAATGATATTGTTAAAGTCAGAAACTTTCCAATTTTATAATGTTGCTTCAACCTTTTTCTAAAGTTATACACTTACTAAAGAAAATAGGGATTTGACGAGTTCTTGAAGGCCTTAAACTAACTTATACACTAAAATGTTGCCAAAGGCTTCTCAAAGTTTGCTAGTTATTAACAAGTAGTGTTTATATTTGTACCACATGAGTGAATGAAACTACTCAGTACTTAACTATAAAGCTTAGAACTACTGTTGGTGAGAAGAATATAATTAGAGAACAAAACAGGTGAAATACTTAATTGGCACTAAAATGAGTGTTAAAGTCATTTAGTCAATAAAAAAGAGTCTAGTATTGAATAAAGACAATAGCTTAGTTAAGACAGGCATCCTGACAATGAAACTCAATGCTCTAATATTTAGACCAAGAGAGATTACATCTTCTGATATTTTTTTATTCTCAAGTTGGTGGAGGTGGTAGAATGAGGAAAATAGAAAGTAGGGCTCAATTTATAACTCAATTGTAAACAATCTGATCCATCACTCCACAAAGAAGCAGAATTTCTTTTTAGCAACATTTACTTAGTGACCAGGATCAAAGTAATGCTTTTAACTTGTTATCTGGGAAGTATTTTTATGCCAGGACAAGTAGCTAGAAAGTATTAGTTGATTTTTGCTCATCACTTCAACACAATCTTTGGACTTAAGGACTACATATATGAGGAGAACAGTTTTGTCTTGAGGTGGCTATTCTTGACTGTGTAATGATGGAGTTTGTTGCGTTTTAGGATTCATCCTTACAAATACAAGCCTAAGCTCTTTCTAACTCTTAATTCTCAGAGAGTTATTAAGAGGTGAAATAGGTATAGGTGATGACTATAGGAAGATAATTTAGGAAATTATTTTTAAAATTTGTGTTTCCATTTAGTTGTCTTGGGATATAAACCAAACAGAACCATGTTTTTTGTGCTGCAAGTGGTTTGGGACAATAAAGTTTTTGTTTGATGACCTTCTTTGTCATGTATTTTGTTGATAAATGGCACTAAATAGGGCATATATGGGGACAGATCCTAGAGTACCACTTTTAAAAAAATTGACCTTGATCAATTTATTTGTGTTCTGAGCCTAAGTTTTTTAATCTGGGAAATGGTGGTGGTGATAACTAATATTAGGCGTAATCAATATGAGAATTAAGTGTTATGTGTGTGTGTATGTATGTGTGTGTGTATAAATAAATATAAATAGACATCTGGATATAACAATGCTAAATGAATTCAAGCTATGATCTCAATAGCCCATTTTACTTGCTGCAGACTATCATGTTAAGAATTTTTTTAATCATTTTTTACTGATGTCCTTAGTTTTTTAAGTCACATTCCTTTGTTATTGTAACTTTTGTGAATTTTTTTTTTACTGTTTTCTTGGAAGATAATAATAGTTTCATAGTTTTGTAACTGATTATATGTTAGATTAATTGTATTGTTTAATATTAGAGATCATTAAGTTGAATGGTTTGTTTATATAAATGAAAAAGTCAAAGCTCTTTTCTTATCTTTTTTTCCCCAGATCAATTGTTGGAATGACTATGTATAATCAAGCCACACAAGAAATTGCAAAACCATCAGAGCTTCTAACAAGTGTAAGAGCATATATGACTGTACTACAGTCAATAGAAAACTATGTGCAAATCGATATTACCAGAGTATTTAATAACGTTCTTCTACAACAAACACAACATTTGGATAGTCATGGAGAACCAACAATAACAAGTCTGTACACAAATTGGTAAGGAACACATTTAGAAATTTGAAGTAATGTAAAGTGCCTTGGTATGAACTCAGGAAAATTTTTTTTTAACGGATAAGTCCTCATTCTTCATATGTTAGCTCAAAATTATACAAGAATGAATATCAGTAATATATTTTGAATTAAACAATTTCTTATGGTTATAAATTTCCTTTTCTCCTTAGGTATTTGGAAACGTTGTTAAGACAAGTCAGCAATGGCCATATAGCTTATTTCCCTGCAATGAAAGCATTTGTTAATTTACCAACAGAAAATGAATTAACATTCAATGCAGAGGAATATTCTGACATATCAGGTGACTAATACTGTTACATATTTTAGAGAATGAGGGAATTTTGATTCTTTGGGCTTTTGACTGTTATAACTATTTTCATTCAATTATATGCATAGTCATACATTGTATCTTAGATTGCATTTGTGTTATCTTCTCAGGATTTTGCATCAATAATTTACTCTTTAATAGTTTACTGAATGTTCTAATATTTGATATACATTTTCTTGAATTATTTGCTCTGGCAAAGTGTAAAATTAATTAAAATTTCCTTCCAGAAATGAGATCATTATCAGAACTGCTAGGCCCATATGGGATGAAGTTCTTAAGTGAAAGTCTTATGTGGCATATTTCATCACAGGTCGCTGAACTTAAGGTAATTCCACTCATCAGTTTTAGCCTTTTTATTTAATTGAAGTATGATTGATAAATAATAGTTTCAGGTATACAATGATTTGCTAATTGTATATCAGTTTTAACTGTTAAATATTAATTCCTACCAAACATTTCAAGAACATGAACTGAAAGCCTGGGATGTTCAATTGCATTAACCTTACGTGAAAATTCTAATATGTCAGTGAAAGCTATAGTGGTAACATGACTTAAGTAGCATTTTTGTTTAGTTCTATTTTACAGATGAAAAAGTCTATAAACATAGAGAGGTAAATTGACTTCTTTAAAAGGATTAAAACTCAGATTCTCAACCTTTGGTTGGTTATTCACTCTGTTGATGCTTTTCTTTAATGGCCATGTTAAAAATTCCAGTGAAAGTCAGTTGTTTGAATTTGTAGCATGAATGTATACCCACATACTATATTACAAAATTTATTAGGTTTCTTCTTCTTCTTTTATATTTCATTAAATTTATTGAGAACCTATAAATGGTTAAGTTCCAAAACAGGAGAAATACAGAGTATTTAACATTTTAATATTTCTTTAGACTCAACAGCCCACCTTTGCATTTTGCTTTCTATAAACAAATATATTGGATTGAAGTGACAGTAGTCTTAATTGCAAGTTCAGTGTTCTTCAATGTATCTTTAACATGTAATGCAGCAGAGGCAATTCATTTTCTTAAACACTTTATTTCCACTCAAAGCTTAGCAATTACTTTAGCTTCACATTATTCTGTCACAAATAATAATTAAAAGTAGCTAAAATCATAAAGCTATTAGAAGCCAAACCAATGATAAGTATAAAGTTAATAGAAAACACTAACTATACTAGTACATAATTATGTTGGACTCTACTAGAAACATTCCCAAATAAAAGTTTTATAAAAGAATGAGGCCGTTGGTCAGAGGGACTGATGGAGTTATATCATCAAAAATTAGAAAAATTATAGAGAAAAAGAAATCAACCTATAATTTTAGCCAAATAAAGAAGGAAAGGAGAGTGCATCATTACCGCTGAGGACAATTCAGGAAACTGCATTTACCATTCTGTCACAAACTGTTCACTCCCTCAGGAGCACAGCACCAGTCTTTCCAGGTATTCTGTTACGCGGTGACTAAGTGTCCCTATGGAACAGACGCCTACATTTATGGTAGGATCATATTGCTATTTTACCTGACAGTTAGCAAACAATGGAAAATTATTACGGCTAGGCTGATTTCAGGCCATCTCAGTGCCCCTGAAGATAGAGGCAAACAATGAATCATTAAGAAACAAAGTGAGTTATAAAACAAGTCAGATTTGGTGATTTTCAATGGAAAAAACCATAGTATTTGAGAATTAGGAAATTTTCAGATGCTGACTTTTTTGCATTGGCACTCCAACACACTAAACTGGACCAAATTCCAAACTCAGACTTATTTGCATCTCTTCAGTTTAATAATCCAGTAAATGACCAAAAAGACAAATAATGAAAACTATATTGTAGAGCACAGCAGCTTTGTTTGGCTCCCTTTTGATAAAATCTTCAGCCTTCCCCCATCGTTCTCCCTAGAAAATCCAGTTGTAGAATCAAACTGTGAATCCATTTCAGCTAATAATTTATTTTGATTTTTCACTTCCTGGCCTATTTCTATGGAAAGAGATTTTATAGCAGTTACTTTGTTTCTCAGACTTTCAGTGAGTCTGCCGTTTTCTTCTTCACAAGCACTATTAGGTTAGCCATAGTTACTATGGTTGCCAGGAAGTATTCCTTCACCCAGGCCTACATGTCTCATTTTGCCAGAGGAACGAGGGTAAAGGCGAGTGGAGTGGTAGGTCGGAAGGAGCCTGGTGCCACCCAGACAGCATCTTTGATACCAGGGGCAAGACAAGCACCAGAGTCTTCACCTCTTCTTCTTCTTCTTTTTTTTAATATGTATTTATTTATGCAGACAGAACTGGGATACAGGCCAGAGATGCAAGGGCAATGAGAGGATTCACCAGAGACACAGTAGGGAGCAGAACAGGCAAATTGACAAAGTACACTGCTGAGGGAGCAGTGGGCAAGACCAGAGAGGTCTGCCAAGTCATGTGGGTTACCCCCCTGGAAAGGGATTGAACTCAAGCTGAAGAAGCTGCAACTAGCTTTGTAGTGCTGTGCTTAACCTGTTGCACCACCAGGGAGGGCCTGTTTTTTTTTTTTTATTTTTAAAAAAACTTAAAAATAAGTTTGGCCCCTTTTTATAGGATGAAAAATGTCTTTAAAATGCTTGATGTTTTAATAAAGGTATAAGCAAATGTTAAATTTTAAATAATTTAAAAAACTTTAGAAATGTCACAGTGCATGCTAAAGTGATTTTTATTGAATGAAACTATATAATAACTATCTAGACTTTAAAGGCATTTGAATTTGGACCATTAAAATTTGAACTTATGAGTGGAATAGAAAAGACATACTTTAAAATACCCCTGCTTTTGGTTGGTTATTTGTGTTTGCCTTTCAGTTGTAATTCCCTAAAAATATGATATATACCACACTAAGTTTTGCATGTTAAAATGTAGAACTGAATGGTCTGAATGGTCATCTGATTTAATGAAAATTAATCAGATATGTAGGATAAGTCAGTTCCATAAGGTCAATATTTTGCTGAGTAAATAACAATAGTGTAATTTAGAGGAGAGACAGTATTATCTAGTGATAAAGAACTCAAGTTTTTGAATTGGGTTAAGCTGAATATAAGCTTCATCATTTTATGATTTTGGTCAAAGTTTAAACTTTACTGAGCTTTTTTTTACTTTGAGAAAATTATGAGATAATATATGTTAAGCACTTAGGAGTTCAGCATAGTTCCTGACACATAATAAGCAGGGAGTAATATAGATGTTCTGTTTTGAAAAAAATTATCTTCATTTCTTAATTAAAAATTAAATGTTAGATACTTTATAATATGGTTTTATTTGTTTTTAAAGATTGATTGATTTATGAATAAGAACTGGGGTATAGACCAGAGGTACAGGGGGTGAGAGGATTCACCAGAGACAGAGTGGAGAGCAGAAAAGGCAGATGTACTGAAATACACTGCTGAGGGGAGCAGCAGGTGGATCAGGAGAGGTCTGCCTTGCCATGTGGGTCACCTCCCTGGCCAGCGATCTAACTCGTTCTGCAGTGGCTGCAGTAGCATCGTAGTGCTTTAGCCTGTTGTACCACCAGGGAGGGCCCATAATGTGGGTTTTAAATCCACACATTTTAGCAATAGATATCTTCTCACACCTGTGAGAGTAGTTCATGTCAAAGACTAGAAATGACTACCAAGGTGCAGGATATAGAGAAAAAGAAGTCCTCTTACACTGTTAATGGGAATACAGAGTGGCCCAGTCCTTTGGAAAACAGTATGGAGGATTCTCAAAATATTAAAAACATCTATCATACCACTCCTATAGCTACCAAAAAAAAAATGCCAAAAACACTAAATTATTGCAGCACTATTTATAATAGCCAAGTTATGAAAACAACCTGTCCCATAAAATTACTTTCCCTAGATTAATTTATGAAATTTCAGAAACAAATAGCATAGATTTTTGCTTCTAAT